GACTTCCACAGTAGTTTAGTCGTAGTTTAAAATGTTTTCTTAAAAAAAAAAAAAAATCCGATTACAATTGCTTTTATACCAATGCAATTGTAAAATACTATTTCTTTTATAGATGAAGGGACCCACCTATAAAAATGGAGTTGATTCCAACTGCTGGTGGCCCCGAGTGTGACAAGTGCAGCCCTGTGAAACTTTCCCCAGATCTCCCGGCTTTCTTCCGAGGTGGCTCTAGGTAGACTCCCCTTCCATCTTTCGGTGAACAGCACATGTGTTAACTGTGTGCAGCACACTAGTCTTTTCACTGACGCTGCCATAAATTATAGTTGTATTTGTTTAATGAATGAAACGGCCCAGGAAGACAAAAGTCCGAGGGCCCGTGACAATGAGGGCTGGATTTTGTAAGTCACTGAGATCCCATCCACACAATGGCACACGGGCAAAACGGCACAAATACAATGCTACCTCGTTACATGGTGTGAGCAACCACTTCGACCCTTCTTTTATTTCAATAAAAACTAACCATGATAGGTGTCCTGGTGTGGTGCTGTGGGTTAATGTGCTGGACTGCAAAGTCAGTTTGAACTGCAAGGTCAGTAGTTCAAGATCACCAGTCACTCCTCAGAAACCCTATACAGGGTCGCTATGGGTTGGAACCAACTCAACGGCACTTAACAACAGCAAAAATTTCAAATAATAAGTATTATTTTGGTAACACCAAATGGAGAATCACAATGTTCTATTTTATGTCAAATGAAAAAACACTCTTCAGAAGTGGAACTGAACTTCTCATCCAGCTGAAGCTTGACTTTCAGCCAAACAACAGGCAGGTCTTCAAAGGGACCAGCAACACCGGGGAGGTACACACTCCTTAGAAGAGTCAGTCAACCATTTGGGATCAAAAGGGCACCATTTGCCCAGGCACAGAGTTCAGCAGGGTTAGGAAAGGAGGGGGTTATGAAACCGGAAACCCAGGAAGGAAGTGACGTTACATCGTGAGAACTGTAATCTACGAGATGAAACAAAATGGTTCCCTTAGCCCGTTGCTTCACCTGTGCTCAAAACAAACGATCTTTGATTTTCTCCACCCACCTTCACTGCTCCAGTCAAGATGTGACTGATCTCATCTCCTCTCTAAGTGCCAGTCTTCCTTGTCTTTTTTCCCTCTGTCAATAGGACTCCATAAAGCACCAGGAAAAGGGCCAGAACATCTGCTATCCCAACCATCATCTCTTGACAGTAAAACCTTCAACTTCAGAACGCTCTTCCAATCGTGTGTACCACCTTCTCTTCAAAACAGGGCCTGACCTAGCCCATACAACATTCCTTCCTGCCTACAAATGAAGTGTGCTTTCGACTGACCCTCTGAAGCCTTGCAGGGGGTGTTGTGGGTGTGGAGTCAGAAAGAACTGGTCGGATTTGAGGTGTTTGAAAACCGCAGACGGCAGCACAACACAGACAACGTAAGACCCTCCATGGAGTCAACACCTCATCAAAAGCCCGAGAAGATACATCATGCTATGCACCTGAAATTGAAGGGTTTAAAAGTAGTAATTGCATGTTAAGAACAAAGATTCTCAAACAGTACTTATATGCACTGCAAAATTCAAACCACAAACGTGTGTGGCAGCTGCTGGCTTGAGGTCACCTTGCCTCTTCAGGTGGAGCACATTGTAGATTTTACACCTGTAGTTAAGTACCATGGAGTACCGTGGAGTCGGTTCCCACTCATAGAGACCCTGCACAGGGTTTCCGAGGCTGTAAATCTTTACGGGACCAGAAAGCTTCATCATTCTCCCGCGGAACAGCTGGTAGTTTCGAACTGCTGACTGTGAGATTAGCAGCGGATTCGTAACCACTATGTTACCTAGCCCACTGAATGTACTACTCACAAAGACAAGGGTTAAGAGCACTTGTATTTCTGAGGCCCTAAAATTTCACAGGTGAGTTAAGAGAAACACTGTATGAAGTTAACAGTGTTTGCTCCCTCACGGACATCTCATCTTTTGGTTTCTTGTACAGCTAGAAGGGATAAACGTGTTAGATGTACAGCCAGAATGCACTTTCAAAAGGCGCACGGAGAGGCTTTCTTTCTCATACTTTGAACGTCATGAAGGCCTTGGGTACCATGGATGTTAGAGGGTCAGTGACAGAGGAAGACTCTCAGTGACGTGGACTGACCCAGGGCAGGGACTGCTCAAACACAGCAATGCCTGTGAGGATGCCGCCAGACCAGGCAACGTTTCATTCTGTTGTACACGGGGTCGCAGAGTCAGACCCGACTCGACACCACCTAACATGACAGTTCCCGATTTCACTTTTCCTACACAGTAGTCAGATGACTATTCACATTTCCTGTGTTGGGTACCTTCCATCGGTCTCTCCACACCCACCCTTCACCTCTCGCCTCAGCCCCTGGTTACACATGTCCAGGGAACACCTCTGGATTCCTGTTGGGTTTGGCCAGTGCTGGGCACCAGCTGGATTTTGCAGGGATGCTGCAAGTTGGCATCCTTGAAAGCTCTTCACCCCTGGATTCGAGTGAAGGGGCTCACGATCTCTAGTGCTTGTCCACCTTTGTGACCACGGTTCTTATCCTTTTCCTGTGGGGGCTCAGACACAGCTTCCTACCCTCACTCCTCCACCTGAGTGGAGTTAACTAGACAAGTGCAGGAAAGTATATCCTCATCAGTCATTTCTAGAATTTGGGAAGATTCTGCAACAAGTTAAAAGGTTAAGGTTCTTAGAAATTATGTGTTTATCCACCTCTAGGCCTAAACTGAGGTTTATAAACAATTATTAACAACAACAAAAAAAGCAATACACAGATAGTATTTAGCCTTAAAGGTCAAGAGACAACATTTCCTCTAAAATGATGTATATTGAATCTTGAAAATATTCACAGTTTTTATTCTGGTCCTTCCTAGAGTATTTAAGCTAATCAGTGCCATCTGCTGGGAAGTAAGCATAATGAAGTCTGCCAAACAACATGTGTATCAGTTTTAGGAAAAGTATGTGGGATATAATAAGCCTTACTTTAAAAAATATAGCTGCTTAACGTCCATATTAGTACCAATATAAACCTCAATTAATTACAAAGATTAAAATAGTCTGAAACGTAATCGTTAAAATAATACACTAAGCATTTCTATTCTAATGCATCCTGTGAAAGCCAGAAGCTAGGTAAGGTAGAAGCTTGTCAGCAAAGGAAAAATCGCAAATATCTCGCCACTAACAAAGCAATGGAGTCCTGGTGTGGCGCTGTGGGTTAATGCGCCAGACTACAAAGCCGTTTGAACTGCGAGGTCGGTGGTTCAAGCTCACCAGCTGCTCCTTGGAAACCCTATACAGGGTCGCTGTGGGTCGGAACCTACTCGACAGCACTTCACAACAACAAGAAGAGAGCAATAGAGATGTGGCAAGGCTGCAGCTTCTAAGATGCAAGAATCGTTTCTTCATGTACGAAAGAAGGTGATGAAGACGTGGAATCCATCAGTCCACCGGACTGAAATACTGACACTAGACAGACTGGAGGGGATGCAGCTACCAACTGTTTGGAAAAGGATCACAGTGAATTATAACTGAATTATAATGGTCAGAAAGAAACTGGAGGAACCCAAGACCATGGCCCCTGGGCAGCCTGGCAGATCTGGAATGGAACTGACCCTCGTGGCCCAGTTTTCAGCCCAGCAGTACAGACATATAGGGGGACATGCTCACCATGGAATGGTCAGTCATTCATGATCATAGGAACATTCACTGAAGGACAAAGTTGAGAAGGGCTGGGAAGGAGGGTGGAATGGAGACGAACAGAACACCAGGGAGGCAGTGGGATGACTGTGTTGCAGGGAAGGGACTGCAGTCCCTGAGAATGAAACAAAGCGGAGGATTTCTTGACTGTAAAACGGATGATCTGCTCTGTAAACCTTCACTCAATTCATAGTAAAAAGTTTCAAACAGTAGTATGACTGTACCATCAAAGGAAGAACACTTGGGAGACCTAGAGAAACAATAGGCAGCCTCGGCCGGCTCGCTCTGATATTTTTCTTGGTTCCTAAACATCCTTGTTTTGCTTTGTATGAATCTCAACATATGTCAACGTATAAACTCTCATACCGGAATCTATGCTACTGGTCTGTAAGTGAAAGGTAAGTTAAACATATATTATATATTGCATTCATATAAGGGGCTTCTGAAGGTTTGTGGGAAAACAGAATGAAAAGATAATGGAATTTTCCTACAAACTTTTTGAGGCCCCCTCATACTTAACTATATGCCCAGCTTTTGTGCCTGGTGTGGCGCTGAAGAACCAGCACTGAACTTCAAACCTCAAGGTCAGCAGTTCAAGCCACCCAGCTGCTCTGTGGAAACTCCCTTTCCAGGGTGGCTATGACTCGGAACTGATTCAACAACAACAACATGATGTAAAATGTGACAGTACCTTCACCAAAAACCCAAACCACTGTCAGCAAGTGGAGTCCGACCATTAGTCTTCGAGGCTGTAAACCTTTACAGGAGCAAAGAGCCTCAGCTTTCTCCCATGGAGCTGATGGTGGGTTTGAACTGCCAACCTTGTGGTTAGCAGTTCAATGCTTAGCCACAGGACAGCAATGCTTTAGTTCTGAAATAACTGAAGCAGACATGTAGAGTTGGGTGTTTCTGGAGTGTTCTCACCGTGGTTCTAAACAGCAACTCGAAACCGGGTCTATGCAAATACCACGGCACATTCTGCTTTCTTGCTAACAACAACTGAAACCAGCATTCTAAATGACAATATAGAAACATACAGATTGCTTAACTGATTTTAATAGCTGTAGGACATAAAGCCCCCTAGACGTGATATAACTGTTATGCAAAATACATAGATGAATACTGTTTTCTTTAAAAATACAAAATAAATAAACAAGACATGTGAAAATAGGCACATTTCCATTAAATAAACGAAAATGAAAAAAAATTTTTGCTTTCCATTATCATTTGAAGAAGGGAAATTATCAATTTAAACAATATTCAAGTTTATTAAACAAATTTAAAAAAAAGTATTATAAAAACGTTTAACTTTCATCAGCTTCAAGGTTTATGTTGCTGCCAAATTTTGCATATAACTGAACTTTCAGATCTGCTAACACCCGCTGGATTGACTCCACTCTGCACTGTAAGGCATCGATTTCTTCTTGCAAATTTCTCTGGGGGGGAAAAAAGTTTAAATTAATTTGATTCAGTTGGATGACTTCTAAGCATCTGAGGCTGAAATACTGTGGGCAGAAATTTTGGGTCAAGAAGTTTCTAACCTTGGACAGGCAGCAAACAGCACTGGTAATCAGACCTAACCCCAGGTCTGCATGTATGTATTTTAATTCAGGGGCCCAGTGCTTTCACAGAACAAATCGACCTGTTCCTGTCAGTCTGTACCAACTCAAAACCCAATCGTCCACAGAAGGCTAATTACTAAGCCATCCTCTCCTAATAAAGGAAAGCCACTACTTGTCTGTCATTTTGTCACACTGTGGTGGCTTGCATGTTGCTGTGATGTTAAAACTATGCCACTGGTATTTTAAACCCCAGCAAGGTGACCGATGGTGGACAGGTTTCAGCGGAGCTTCCAGACTAACACAAGAAGAAGATGAGGGCCACTTCTGAGTGGTTAGCCACTGAAAACCTTATGAATACCAGCTGAACACTGCCAGATACAGTGCCTAAAGGTCAGTCTCTCAGGTGGAAGACACTCAAAACACAACTAGGGCAGAGCTGACTCCTGTAAGTAGAGTTAACCTTAATGACGTAGAAGGAGCAAAGCTTTCAGAACCTTCATTTGCTGACAGGGTACAATTCAATATGAGAAGAAATGGCTACAGACATCCATTCATATTTAGAACATGCAATGTATGAAGCATGAATCTAGGAAAACTGAAGTCAAAAATAAGATGGAACACACAAGATTGATATCCGAGACATTACTGTACTAACGAAATGGTATTGGCATTCTGAATCTGACAGTTGAACGGTTTACTATTCCGGGAATGACAAACTGAAGAGCAACGGCATCGAATTCACCGTCAAAAAGAGCATTTCAAGATCTTGAAGCGTCATGCTGTCTGCGACAAAATAATAACCATATGTCTATGAGGAAGACCAGAGACTGGATGATAAGCACTGGACTGTGAACCACAACATGGAGAAAGATGAGGCTTTCTGCTCCCACAAAGATTTGACACCTTAGAAATCCTATACAGGGTCACTAAGAGCTGGAACCGACACAACCGCACTTAACACAGGGAGACCAGTTAACACCACTATCATTCAAAATTACCCATCAACCACTGAAGCCAAGGATGAGGACACTGAAGAATTGTGTTGTGCATAGGGTCGTTATGAGTCAGTACCAACTCAATGTGATATCTTTGCTCTTGAGCACTTTGTTGTTAAAGGTCGTTGAGGACTCAGATGCACCTGACCTAAATCATGTATTTTCTGTGAAGCTTTCTGCTCCCATACGTATATATACAGCCTTGGAAACCCTACACAGGGCTACTATGCTGTGGAACCTACTGGATGGCAGTGGTTTAATAAAAAACAGGAGCCCTGGTAGCGCAGTGGTATAGCTCTTGGCTGCCAAGAGAAAGGCCAGGGGGATGAAAGCAGTCTACTCCCACAAGGATTAAACCCCTACAGCCCTGGTCGAGTTCTGCACTGCCCTATAGGGCTGCCTCAAAGGCCTCAAGCAGCATGTGTGCCAGACATCCGGTCATAACCTTTTATCAGCAGTCGGGCATCTGGCCCAGCTTCTCCTAACTTCCCACAAAACCATGAAACGACAGGAAGTGATAAAAACTCACAATGCCACCAAGAATTAAAAATAACCTGTGACCAAAAGCTGGCAGGAGTTTTCATGAGCTCCACAGTCCTGGGGCTGCTTAGGAGAGAGAGACAGGGTGTCATCATCGGACTCAGGAGGTGGCCAGCAGGCCAGCAGGCAGCTTCCTCAGCATGACAAAGAAACCACAAACCACAGGAGTCAAAGAAAGGTCAAGGGTACTCTTAGCAAAGTCACCAAACAAACCAAAAAACAAACCCACTCCATTGGATGGATTCCAGCTCACTGACCCCACACAGCGCTTTCCGAGGAGGCGGCATACTCCTTCTCCCGTGGAGCACCTGCTGGGTTTGAACCGCTGACCTTGTGGTCAGCAGTCCAGTGCCAGTCTCTGAATGTTTGGACCCTATCACTAGCCTACTGGACTAAAGCTGGTGGCGGGGCTCAACAAGTTGATGTTTATCAAGTCGCTGAGTGGGGACCCCTTGACAGCAACAGGCTAACAGGTCAGGATGGGTCTGACCTAGGAGCCAAAGAACAAAACCAGGAAACGGGCCCATTAGTAGCACCAGTGGTAGGCACTGCTGTTAGCAGCTACGGAGCTGCCTCTGACTCCTAGGGGCTCCAGGTACGTACGGCTTCACGATGGCATCTTCCCAGGAACCTTTGGAAGCCCCGCTGCCTATCAGAATGCAACACTACCAGCCCTGAACGGTCCCCAAACTCCATGCTGTTCAGAACTCTCAATGAGTACCTGCTAACTGAACCAACATTAAATGCAAGAAGAAAAAGCTCTCACTGGAATGTGAAGTCATCAAAGGGTGAAACCAGAGTCTCTACAGAAAAAGAGAGCAAAGGAGAAATACAGGAATCTGTGTGCATTACACCCAGGGCTGAGACCTGAGCTGCTCGCTGAGCCAGTTTAGGCTGGAGTACCCCCCTCCCCCAGCCCCCCACAGGTAGACTGAGTCAGAATCCACAGTTTAATGAAACCCTAAATGAACCTGCAACCAAAGTCCGGGTTACACCTCAACATAAAGGAAACAGAACTACTCACAACTGGACCAGTGAGCAGTGCAGAGACAGATGGAAGCCGCCAGGACATCACTTCATGTGGACCCACAACCAGTGTCCATGGAAGCCCGACCGCACTACCAGCCTCACAGCAGCCCTGTACAGGGTTTCCGATTCGTAAATTTTTATGGGACCAGAAAGCCTCATCTTTCTCCCATGGGGTGGGCTGGTGGGTTTGAACTGTTGACTTTACAGTTTATCCTACAGAGCCACACCAGACCAAAAAAAAAAAAAAAATCAAAGAACGTATTTCATTGGGTAAATCTGCTGCAAGAGTTGTTTAAAGTGTTAGTGAGCGAAGATGTCATTTCCGGGACTAAGCCACGGTATTTTCAGTCATCTCATCTGCATGTGATGAGATGGACAATGAATAAGGGAGATCAAAGAGGAACTGATGCGGCTGAATTACGGTGTTGGCAAATACTGACTATATCCTGGGTTAGCAGCAGAACAAGCAAATCCTGGAAGACGGAGAGCCAGAATGCCCCTTAGGGAGACTCTTCACTGATGCTATCATCATGAAGGACCAGCCCCTGGGGAAGGGAAGTGGACAGTCAGTGAGAAACAGGAAGCTCTCCAACAAGATGGATTGGCACAGTGGCAGCAACTCTGGGCTCAAACACCTCAAACGTGAGGCTGCCACAGACAGGGCAGTGTTACCTTCTGTTGGACGCTGGGTCGCTAGGAGCCAGAGCCAACTCGACAGCACCCAACAACAACACCAAGAGTGGCCTCTCTGGGTACCGGATTACAGGTGACTTTTCTACTAAATCCTGGAGTCCGGCGATCACGTCTGAGTGCTCTATCACCTTTGAATAATTCTCGCAAACTCTCAACCTCTCCATCTCTAAATGAGAAGGTCACAGCACCTGAGGACCACCACTGTTGTTGTTAGGTGCCTGCCACTGACTTCGTGCCCACTCACAGAGACCCTATGCACAACAGACCACACACTGCCCGACCACTAGGACTACCTAAAGTCAGGCTCACAGCATCAGGAGAGGGCCTCGGGCACTATAAGGACGCTCTAAGCAGTAGCCAGTATTCCCTACCTCCCAGCTCCTTCACCAATGACACACATTCTAATTGAAGAATTAGACTTTCTCTCCCACAGACACGTTCACCATACCTTTGCTTCTTCTAGCATTTCTTGTGTTTCCTCCTGAGAGTGACTAATGAACACATCCCCAACCTGGTAAGGGATCACTAAGCAGTCGTCATCGGCCAGCATGATGTCATCACAAGCATCTTCTAAGTTTTGGAGTTGTTTCTATGGACCCAAAAGTCAAGTACAATGAGAAGCAAGTTCAGACTCCCTGACAGAGGCTACAAGCCCATGGTCTTTTGGGAACCCCCACCCCCACCCCTCCCAGGAACTCTTTTATGAAGGAATTCTTGTTGCTGTCAATTTCGACTGTAGTGGCCCTAGGCGACAGAACACACCGGGGTTCAGCCAGCTCTCAGGTCTCTGGAACATTGTGGTTCGCAATCCAGTGCTTATCCTCTAGGGCCACAGCACTCCCACTACTGGGTGCAGACTAGTACTCATTTAGGTTCCCTCCCACCAAACACAGTGGACTTCAGTTCAGGAGTGCTACACCAGGTGCGTGCAGTGCCAGGAGCTCGGGGTGTCAAGGTCTGCAGGGGCAGGAGCCTCCTCGCACAGGCTCAGCAGAGACACGGTGGTTCCGGCATCAGCCAAGCTCCCTGAGGTGAGGTTCTGGAAACTCAGCCTGGATTTGAGGCTCTCAGCACTTCTGCCAGCTCTCTAACCTCTCATCAGAAAAAATCATTTCTCCTTTAGCTGGCACAATTGTGTTATTCACTTAGGAACTGAACCCACTTATTAACTGACGCCCAGCCAGAAGGACCAACACCGTGGCTGCAACCAGGACAGCTGGGATGAAGGTACAGGCCCAGGCAGTGTCTCCTTCTGCTGTGCCAGGGTCCCTGAGTCGGAACTGACTCGACAGCACCCACTAACAACACTGTCAGAAAGAACTTTTATTCTTCTTAAGTATGAGGGGACGTCAAGAAGTGGGACACTAGAATGAAAAGACAACAGAATTCCCCACTAAGCTTTGGAAGCCCCTCCATAAGATAAGTATCTGCAGTACCTTTTTTACTTCTATTTCTTCCTTGAGCTCTGTGATCCTACTTGTATTCCGAGCAAATTTGTTGATCTTTTGCTGGTCTTCAAAAGTAACATTGACATCTTCCGCAGCCTGGAAAACAACGTTAACAGTGCATCTGAATGAAGTTGTAGCTGGCTGTCATCTGACAGACTGCTGGAACTTGTTCCCTCGTTGCCCTCCTATAGTTAAGGACCACAGAGGCGGGGAGCATCGCAAGCATGTGTCTCATTTTCCTTTTGTTCCATGGGCTTCGGATTCCTTCATACCTCTACCACCTTTGCTAGGATAGGATGCCTAGGCTACGGAACATTTAAAATATAAACAAGTAAGAATAAGCCCTAATACAAACACACTCAAACCAGAAGGCTCTGAGAAGTCGGGCAGTCCCTGTAGTCTGTGATCACACGGACACACTGACCAGAGAGGGCGCCTGTGAATTTCAGTGGCTACAGTGGTTACAAATCGGGCTGCTAATCTCACCGTCAGCAGTTCGAAACTACCAGCTGTTCAACGTAAGATGAGACTTTCTGCTCCCGTAAAGATTTACAGCCTCAGAAACCCTGTGTGGGTCGCTATGAGTCGGAACCAACTCCATGGCACATAACGATTCTTCACATGGTGGTGGTGGCTGTGTGCTGTGGAATCGGTTTCAACCCATAGCAACCCTATATAGGGTTTCCTAGGAGTGGCTGTTGAGTTTGAACCACCAACCTTGTGGTTCAAACTGACATTGCGGTCCAGTGCTTCAAATGAAACATAAAATCTTAAGTGTCTGTACTTTGAAGTGGTGGTGATGTGCCGGGGAGTCGGTTCTGACTCATAGTGACCCAGTACAGGGTTTCCGAGGCTGTACATCTTTACAGGAGCAGAAAGCCTCCTCTTTCTCCCACAGAACGGCTGGTAGTTTGAAACTGCTGATCTTGAGGTTAGCGGCCCAATTTGTAACCACGCTACCAGAGCACCTTATATTCCCCACATAGGGAAATTTCATTTATTTTAATGCAGAACTTGTTTATATTTCTTAATGATAAAGTAGGTGTAATTCCATAAAATGTCTACAAGTGCATACTTAAAAATATTTAATGTGATTGAATTTGCAAATAACGTGTTTGGATAGTAGAAAGTAAAAGCATCTATAAAATCTCGGCTAATATTCGGCGAGCTCTTACAAAGTGCTGGCATTTTCTAGTGTTTTCTCATCTCCGAATATAAACCTCCAATCCATCTTTTTAAGTGGCGTCATAGTCCCACTATTTAGCAGATGGAGAGGCTGGGACAAACAGAGGTTAAGGGACCTGCCTAATATTACACTGCTAGGAAGTGGCAGAGTCGTGTTCCAAACCACAGGACGGCCCTCGAGTCCTCAGACGGACCCATGAACTCCCAGAAAGTGAGTGTGTTTGTGTGTGTGTGTGTCTGTGTGTGTATGTACACATATAGGTGCACAGACATCTGGAAGAGGTAGGGGAACTCCTTAGCCTTCATCAGATCTCTAAGGGGCCTCAGACATTTAAAAAATAAATTAATGTTCTTACAAGCAAGGATGGCGAGACTTCACCTCCTATACTTCGGCATGTTATCAGGATTGACCAGTCCCTGCAAAAGGACATTGTACTTGGTAAAGTGGAGGGTCAGAGAAAGAGACGAAGACCCCAAACGAGATGGACTGGTAACAACTGTGGGGTGGTGCAGGACGGCGCACTCTTCCGTTCTGTTGTGCACAGGGCTGCTACGAGTGGGAACCAGCTTGACTGCACCTAATAAAGTTCTCTTTATGGTTTCCCTTCGATCATAAAACAGGAGTGACAACTGTTGATGCTGCAGGCTGCGGTGGAGTCCATCCTGACTCACAAGGAGCCCATGACAACAGAATTGCGCCATTGGGTGTCCTGGAACAGCCAGCCATCAGGTCCTTCCACCAGGGTTCCTGAGATGTATCTGCCATGCAGCCGGCTGCTTAACCAGTGCACCGTCAGGGCCCCCTGAAATAAGGACATCATTCCCATTTGGAGGGAAGGCTTGCTCACAACTGCAGCTTCAACAAGTGTTACTTTTGTTAACTAACAGTAATGGGCTCATCGTCTCCAAATCCACGCCCATTCCTTCCCCTGCTCAGGGACACAGCCGTGTAGGTACAGTTATCTGAGACGATCTGCAGCACCGAGGCAGCAAGATGGAGCCCTCCCCGGCTCTCATCATCCCAACAAACCATCGCCCATGCAGCAGGCCCACCCACTGAAACCCAGTGGGTAGCCTCAAAACCCCTTTAAAGGATGAGCAGTATAGTATATACAAGGGGGCTTCAAAAGTTCATGGGAAAGTGGAATGAAAAGATGGGATTTTTCTGTGAATTTTCTGAGTCTCCTCACAAACACACACAGCACTAAGTGCTCACCCCTGTGTGTGATGTTTACAAACATGAAAGGAAGGAGCTTCACTAAAGGACTGGTTCGATTTGCCTCTACGAGAAGGATCCCGTCAAGAACACAAGAGCCCCAGCTGGCTACCTAAAGAGCCGGCATCCCTTTGTGGAAACAGGAGCTCAGGAAAAGCCTGACACATAATTACAGCTCCACCTGTCACGGCGAGGGCTCCACAGGGCCACACAGGTGGGGTAACCTCGTCCAGGGCCTGCGACACACAGGGCTCAAAACTTGAGTCAGGACCAGGCTCGACCAGACCTACTTTCCAGCAGGGTTAGCGGCATCTGGCCACCTGCCTTCTATCTTTCCAAAGCAGATGTTTCCGGTTGTAGCCCCAGCAGGCACTGGTCCCTGCTATCTGGAGTCCTAGCAGCGGGTGCCCACTGGGTCAAGGGCTAAAGTCAGTGTGTGAGTCAAATAAACTGTCCCCACGCCTCAGGGGAAGGAGAACTGGTGGAGCAGGGGGTTAAGTACTGGGCTGCGAACTTAACTCTAAGGCAGAGGGTTCAAACCTACCAGCGGCTCCCATAAAACAGACAGCGTTGGGGGCTGGAGAGTGAAGCCAGCAGTGGCCTCTTGGAAGACAGGCACTTTGGACTCAGGACACTGACGCTCAGAACTCAACGTGTAAGCAATGGCTAAGAATAAGGCCTCGGAAAGCAGAACTGGAGATGCGAGGAAAGACTGGGCCTTCTGGTCTCCAGATTCTCCTCAGCCAAGTCATGACCAGATGTGCGGCTCAGAGTGGTACACATGTGAAGATCACTAACAATGACGTGGCTCCTTTTATGCCGACAGGGTTTCTCTACTGTTGTTGTTAAGTGCCATCGAGTCAGATGTGACCCACAGTGACCCTGTATAGGGTTTCTGAGGAGTGGCTGCTGAGCTTGAACCACTGACCTTGCAGTTCAAACCAACTTTGCAGTCCAGCGAATTCATCCACAAAAAGTGTTTGTCTCAGCAGCTAACCTAGCAGGAATTACTCCCAACACTGGGCCCGCTGAGCTGAGTTCACGGCGTGAAAGGGAAGAAGAAAACCCTTTGGGTTCCTAACTCTGAATTCCTTCTGTTACCCTCAGGGCTGGTCCTTCCTTTATAAAAATGCACCATGATCTTGCAGGAGCTATTCCCTCGGAACGCAAACCCACTGGTGCTGTGTTGATTTGGGCTCACAGAGCCCTTTATGGCCTTGCAGAGGGGTACATCTTCCTGCCATGGAGCCGGTGGTGGCTTTTAACGACTGCCCTTGTGGTCACTGGCCCAACACTTCACCCAAATGTCACTAGCACACCTGGCATAATCTAACCTTACTTCAGCCCTCATTCACCAATGCCCTTTCGTCACAGTGCTGATCAGAGTTGGAAATTGCACCTTTGTCAGTGTGACGATTTGAGGAACAGACTGCCTGCCTCTCCCGCTACAATGTGCATTCTGTGATTCTCTGAGAGGCACGTTACTATTTATTACTCAACACTGGTGTGGCGCTGTGGGTTAATGGACTGCAAAGTCGGTTCAAGCTCACCAGTTGCTCCTTGGAAACCCATACAGGGTCACTATGGGTCGGAACCGACTCAATGACACTCAACAACAGCAACTGCGAGTAATAGATTCTCTATAAAACACTGGACCACAAATTTGGTTTAAACTACAAATTCAGCTGCTCCTCGGAAACCCTATACAGACAGGGTGGCTATGAATCAGAACCAACTGGGCGGCATTTAACACCAACAATGACCTAGCAAAGACTAAGCCAGATTACACGTTCAAGATCTGCCTGCTGGATGAGTGGAAGTCCCGAAGCATAAAGACCAGTAACCTCTGATATAACCGAACCCATAATGAAGTCCACGTGGAAAAACGTGGGAATCAAAGGCCTGGGCTCAAATAACTTTTCTACCATAGCCTCACTATTTCATGTCTCCTCTACATTTTAGTTTTCTCATTTATAAAATGGGGGCTGACCACAACAATATCACCCTGGGAATTAAGGTCAAACCTTACAAGAGAGGCATCAACTTAACAAACTAAGGTGGCATGGAACTCCCAAACCTTTCAACTTGTTTAGCTCACCATGGCCCTGAATTCCATTTCCCACCAAACTTTCTGAAGCCCTCTTGTAGTCTGGCCGTCGTTAAGAATTTGTGGATGACAGACCAGGAGGGTTAGAGAGAGGTGGCTCTGTAGGATAAGCATAGGACCAGCAATCACACAGTCGGCGGTTCAAACCCACCAGCTGCTCTGCAGGAGAAAGATGAGGCTTTCTGCGCCCGCCAACATGAACAGCCTTGGTGACCCGATGCAGGGTCACTGTTCCGATTCGACTGCAGTTAACACCAAAGATCAATAGGGTGACCAACATGACTGGTTATCCCTGAAAGTCCGGTGTCCCAGGAAACGCCTTGGCCCCGGGTACACCAGGAGGGTTAGTTGTGCGTCCCACCCCGGGTACAGGCAGCTATGATTCTGCAGTACAGGAAAGCAGGGAGCACTTAGAAGTGGGACGGTGGCAAACACGGCACACCTGGGAAACAAGCACCTTCAGCCAGGGGATTCTGAGTCAGAATACCAAAACCCAACCCAACCCAGTGCCATGGAATCCGTTCCGGAGTTTAGCCACAGGACAAACTAGAAACTGCTCCACAGGGTTTCCCAAAGGCTGCCTCCTCTTTATCCCAAGGAGCGGCTGGTGGGTTCAAACCACCAACCTTTCATTAGCCAGAGCTCCTGTAGCCAAAATGCCTGTGTTTAAATCCTAGCTGTGCCTCTCGGCTTCCGTTTCCTTATCTGTGATACGGGGTGGTGGTGGTTACATGCAGTCAGTTCTGACTCATAGCAACCCTGTGCAGGGTTTCCGAGGCTGTAAATCTTTACGGGCGCAGAAAACCTCATTTTTCTCCCGCTGAATCGCTGGTAATTTCGAACTGCTGACCATGAGATTACCACTCGTATGATTACCGATTTGTAACTACTATGCTATCAGAGATCCTTTTGAAATAGGGATAGAAACACTATTTCCCTGCAAGGAGAAAATAAATATAATGCAGCAATGGTCTTCACATTGTGCCTGTTGTTGGTAATGCTATCGAGTTGCATAGGGTCTCTGAGGAGCAACTGGTGAGTTTGAACTGCCCATCCTGCAAATCAAACAGGCCTTGCTATCCAGTATGCTTATCCTACAATACCACACCAGGGCTCCAAACTGTGCCTGGTGGTGGTGGTGGGTTCAGCGACCCTGAATAGGGTTTCCAAAGCTGTATATCTAGAGGAGCAGAAAGCTTCATCTTTCTCCCATGGAGAGACTGTTAGATTCGAACTGCTGACCTTGCAGTTAGCGGCCCAGCTCCTAATCTAGTAGTTAGATGGTGAAGCCTCTACAGCTATCAACTGTCAGCATGTCCTTCCCCAACCCAAACCCCCCTGATGTTTTCTTTTACTTAGAGATCTTTAAGCTTTGGTGTAGATTTACTGGATTATAAATCTCAAATGGGAGGCAACTTGCTAAGTGATGATGGTTGTGTGCTGGAGTGATTTGACTCATAGTGACCCTGTACAGGGTTTCTCAGGTTGTACATGTTTACGGGAGCAAAAAGCCGCATCTTTCTCCCGAGGAACAGCTGGTAGAATCTATCTGCTGACCTTGAGGTTAGCAGCTCAGCTTGGACTCCAGTAAACTACCAGAGTTCCCTAACCTGCTACATAGGGGAAAAACGAAACAAACAAAAAACCAAGGAGACTGTAAGAAAAAACAAAGCACACTTGGGTTTGAACCCCAGGAACACTACTCATTAGCTGTGTCGCTTTGGGGGTGCTAACACCTCTGCAGGAGTCCTGGTGGCGCTGCGGGTTAATGCGCTGGACAGCAAGGTCGTTGGTTCAAGCTCACCAGCTGCTCTTTGGAAACCCTATACAGGATCGCTCTGGGTCGGAACCGATTCCACAGCACTTCACAACAACGCCTCCGTATGTAAGTTTCTCTATCCCGGAACCCGGGAGAAACCCTCGTCCCCGCTAGGCGGCTAGGACGATAAGCAAAGACAACGAAGCTGCCGGAAACTGACACGTGGTCTGCTGGGAGGCGCTGTCAGGTCGGTCCCGACCCACGGCGACCCTGTATAGGGTTTCCGAGGGGCGGTGGGTGGGCTTGAACCGCCGACCTTGCGGTGAGCAGTCCTGCGCTGACCCAACGGCAGCGTCTGATCCCAGCGGACACCGAGGATGGACACACGGCTGCGGGGCCGGGTCCTCGGGATCAGGACCGGCTCTGCCCCTCCCGAGCGGCGTGACCCCAGGCGGGTCCCCCCATCTCTGCGATCTCGGCTTCCTGACTCGCGGGCGAGGGTCCCGGCCCGTGATGGCCGAGTGCAGCGCTCGCGACCCACGGGTGCCATCACCTCCCAGGGGTCTCAGCCACGAGAGGGCCACCTCGCCTAGTGGGGCGGCGGCCTGAGGAGTCGCCCCGAACGGCAGAGCGCATCAGGCCTCGCCGCGGAGCCGCCTCCGGGCCGAGACCTCGGAGCCGGGCCCCACGCCCAGACTCCAGCCGCGCAGCTCCCCACCCTGCGGCCTCGGCTCCCCGGGCTCCCCGCGCCCGCCTCCCGGGCACCCACCACCCCGAGCGCCCCACTCACCGCCTTCTTCATGGTGGCCGCCATCTTGGGACTCTACTATGACGCCAGGCGGGGAGGGCCGCACTGGAGTGGTTCTCCCCCGCGCGCTCCTTCACTCCATGGCGGTGTTGAGCGCCTAAAAATAACCACACGGCCTGCACGTTGCTTTCTCGAGACCTTCAATCAATAAGTCCTACCATTTCGGACTCAGGAAGAAACTTGACACAAGAAAAGACTTGGTACATTCCAATTAAAGGGACAGGCAACTCCCTGTGGGCCGACAAAAACAGGGGGGTGTGGCGAGCGGCCGCAGGTCCCAGCGGCGGGCAGTAGGGGGCGCCCAGGGCAACACGCGCGGAGGGGCGGAGTCCGGAGTGGGGGCGGGGGTGCCTAGAGAGGAGGAAAGGAAAATTCTATTCCATCTTTCCGACAAACTTGCATTTTGACAGAGTCATAACCTATGAATGAATGACCTTGACAACGGGATTTGATATTTCTGTGCACTGATAATGCAGATAATGTATGTAATGGAGGAAGCTCTCCTATTAACTAACCCCTTAGACATGATTGAACAGCTGTGTACAGCTTGACTCTGTTGATTGCTTACTGAGTGCCTCGAGATCCAGGACTCTCTCTGAAACATAAAAATGTAGGTATAATTTCATTTAAAGACTCCTGGCTTGGCACTCGCTGTAGGATAAGCACTGGACCACAAGGTCGGTTTGAACCACAAGGCCTGCTGAAAGAAGGGTTTTTTTCAGGGTTACGTCTTTGCAGAGGGCCTAGCACTTACTAGATGCTTCATCAATGACACTCGTTCATTCAAGGACTCGAAAATCACAGCTGTGGGTAAACACTAACGAAATAGACAAAGGGGCGTGGAGCAAAATCACTACAATCGGTGCCAAGTGCTTGAAAGTAACAAATGAGGGGCGGAGACAGAGAAGAATAAAAGGAGTGGTCAGGGACTGGCCTTCTGGAGGTAGCCACTATAGGCCTGGGTCTAGAGAATGAGAAGTCATTCATGGGGGAGAGCAAGGGAAAGGATGTCCCAGCAGAGGGGACATTGTGGCAGCTAAGTGCCATGGAGTCTGTTCTGACTCGTTGCGACCCTGCATAGGGTTTCCAAGGAGCAGTGAGCTTGAACCATCGACCTTACAGTTCAAACAACTTTGCATTCGGACACAGTAGCCCACAGCGTCACAGCAGCACTCCTAGTGGGGTTTAGAAACAAGTGGCCAAGGACAAGTGAAACCAACAGGATCTGAAATGACATATAAGAATTGTCTGATACAAAGACCCATAAAGTAGGCTTGGGAATTCAGATGGTGGTAGCTGGAGGATACCTGATTCTGCTCAGGTACAAGCTCTAATAAATGTGCCATCGCCAAGCTCTCTGGTCAGGGGCAAGATTACTAGGATGTCTCTTCAATGTCCAGGACCCTTGTTATCCATGTATGGAGCCTAGATGCTGTATTGGTCTCCTGGTGTAGTGCTGCAGGGTCATCACTGGACTGTGAACCACATGGTCAGGGGTTCAAATTCTCCAGTTGCTCCTAGGAAACCCTATACAGGATTGCTATGAGTCGGAACGGACTTGACGGCGCTTCACAACAAGATGCTGTATCGGGAAATGTTGATCTCCCAGGACAGAACTGTGAGTGGATCATATAATAAAATCCTTTTTCTCATATAACAAGTGATGTGGGTGACTTACAGCCCCAGATAGGGTGCCCTATGAGTCTTTGGCCTTCCCTGTTGCTCCTCCAAACATCGTTCCTCTCACGGTACGTGCAAAGACAGAGAAAAGGGACAGAGCTCACCTCATTGGTTTGCTCCCTCAAATGATTTTCCAGAATGTTCTATCACCCTTGCCCTAATGTCTGTCTTTTGGGCTCTCTCACTTGCCAACCTCTAGCTAGATCACTGGCAAAAGCAATGGGCTTAATGATCACCTTAAACAGTCATGACTGATGGATTCCTTAAGGCTGAAAATACAGCTGCTGAAATACCACTGCCACCAGCCTCCCCCAATCTGTCAAGTTTGTCATACTGTGGTGACTTGCATGTTGCTGTGATCCTGAAAGCTATGCCACGGGTATTTTAAATACCAGTAGGGTCATCCAAGGTGGACAGAATGCAGCAGAGCTTCCAGACTAAGACAGTCTAGGAAGACTTCAGAAGATTAGCCAATGAAAACCCAATGACTGCAACAGAATATTGTCCAATTATAGTGTTGGAAGGTGAGCCCTCTAGGTTGGAAGGTACTCAAAACACACGGTGGCCATAACAACCCACACTAGCCTGGCAACAGTAGTGAAGGTGGTATAGGACTAGGCAAGGATTCATACTGTCAAATGTGCAGTTGCCATGAACCAGAGCGGACCTGAGAACTAACAACTAGTGCAACTGGGTTTCTGAACACAAGGAAGCGGAAGGAGGTCAACAGCTGTTGGGTCAACAGACAAGTGTGTTCCATATTGGAGTTCTGGGTCATCAGAGGGAACTGTCTACAAGGGCTGTGTCAAATAGGGGCTGGACAGCATCTCAGAGAATAGGAGAGTGCCATTGAATCCGGACAGATGGACAGTGGACTGACCCATGGCAGATTTGGCTCTCAATTGACTCCAGTTGGAGACCCTCATTTTATCCATGCTACACACACACTCCCTCTCTCTCCCCACCACCTCTGCCCAGCCCCACCACCACCACCCCGGTCCCCAAGCCTGTAGTGGCCTCTTTCTTAGCAGGAGAACCAGTTCTGCAAATGCCCATCTGGGATTTTCAAGTCTTGTGTTTAGCATCCTTTGGTCTCCTTAAATATTGAGCATTTCCAACTTTTGTTTCCACTTCTTTCATTGGCTGAGGACTGTCCTTAGCTGTTTGTGGCAGAGAAAGGAAGAAGCCTGGGGTTTATGTGCAAGCATTTGGAAACTGCAGGTGATGGAAAACTCATCACTCTACCGCTATACCGACACAGTAAATGAAAGCATCCAACAAGCCAGACTGGAAGTTCGGTGCTCACTGTTTTATTCAAACCACTAAGAGTTCTTTTTGTCATTGCAGCAGCCTTTAAACACTGCAAGATTTCACACAGCGATATCCAGCATTTTCATGTTGCTTAGTTTGTAAACGCCAGTCTTCTTAACCATTGCCCCAGGCTTGGTGAACTCACCAAGATCCATGTCTGCAGATCCCCGCTCATGGAGCAACGACAGAATTGGAGTTGCTCCCTCACCTGTGGACTACCTGTCAGGTTCCTCCAGATTCAAGGCCATGCAGCACCCCAGCTTCGGTTCTGATACAGCTACAAGAGGGGGCATGTGTGGGTGTGGTTTGTTTGAAATCTGCTTCATACTAGTTGTTGTTATCTATCATGGAGTCGGTTCCAACTCATAGTGGCCCTACAAAGGGTTTCGGAGGCTGTAAATCTTTACGGGAGCAGACCGCCTCATCTTTCTCCTGCGGAACCGCTGATAGTTTCGAACTGCCGACACGGAGGTTACCAGCCCGATTCGTAACCACTATGCTACCAGAGCTCCTTGCTTCATACTCAAAGTTCTGGTAACTAAACCTTTTACTGTTTAGCCTGCTCCTACTCATCGATGCTATAGGGTGGAGGAGGACTGCCCCTGAGGGTTTCCAAGGCTGTAATTCTTTGAAAGCAACCTCAACTTTCTCCTGCGGAGCTGCTGGTGACTTGGAACCTCAGCCTTTCCTGGGAGTAGCAGAGTGCTTGACTGTTGCACCACCAGGCCTCCTCTGTATTGTAAAGTGTGAAGTGCCGTCGAGTTAATTCTGACCCATAGTGACCCTGTATAGGGTTTCCAAGGAGCAGCTGGTGAGCTGGAACCACCGACTTCGCAGTTCAAATAGCTTTGCAGTCTGACGCATTAGCCCACAGTGCCACACCAGGACTCCTTATTGTAAATAGAAAGATGAAAAAGACTTAGTGCCCAGCATAAAGGGGCTTGGGGTTGACAAGCATATAGCACCAATCAGCAAATACAGCTACTGAGTGAGTCTTCATGGGTCCCAAGGAGGAAGAGATCAGCAGAGCAGGAGTTGTGATTTGTGTTTGCGCCACGGAGTTGGTTCATACTAATAGTATGAAAAGTCCAACCGCCAGCCACTGCAGCCAATAACAGAGACGGGGTGAGAATCAACATACATTTCATTGAGGAGTGTGGAAGGCAACAAGAATCCTTCTCTGAAAGGCTGCCTTGGTTTCCCCCACAGGTTGGAGTTTTTATTTGTTGTTGTTAAGTGCCATGGAGTCAGTTCCGACCCTGTATAGGGTTTCCAAGGAGCAGCTGGTGAGCTTGAACCACTGACCTTGTATTCAGAGTTCAGTGCTTACCCTACAGAGCCACCATGTTCCTGGTCAGCACCCTAGCAACACACAAATATCCACTGACAGCGGGTGGTAGCTTTGCACGAGGTACACTGACTGGGAATCAAACTCGGGTCTCCCACGTTGAAAGGAGAGAACTGTACCACCGAGCCACTGATAACCCTGTTATAGAAGATGCTAGGTAAGAGATATTAATTTAGATATTATTAATAGCAAAACACATATGTAAAAATAGAAGAGGATGTAACGGCCAGTATAAAAATGCCCCAAGGAAGACACAAGGAGAGACATGACTGAAATTTGAGGGGAAAAAATCCCTACTGGAATTGGCACATGTTGTTGTTGTTGTTAAGTGCCATTGAGTCGATTCCAACCCATAGTGACCCTGTATAGAGTTTCCAAGGAGCAGCTGGTGAGCTTGAACCACCGACCTCGCAGTTCAAACAACTTTGCAGTCTGACGCATTAGTCCACTGCTCCACACCAAGAATTGGCACATAAACAATAAGAAATTGTCCAGATAGGTCCCAGTTGCCACTTAATTTAATTCAGTCACAGAACAAGACTGAACTAATCACATTTCATAACACTGTATCGGGGAGAGCTCTCTCTTCTCCCAGCCTCCTGGTTGTAAGTCTTAAAGCGGAAACTTTGATGGAGAAATCCTGTCACACGCCAGGAAGAACTTGTAGCAAAGAAAGGCAAATGTTTACTGTTGTTGCTAAGTTCTCAGAGCAACCCTGAGGAGCAGCTGATAGGTTTGAACCACTGACCTTTTGGTTCAAACTGACTTTTCGGTCTAGTGCACTATCCTGTAGAGCCACACCAGAACTCCAAACCCTTACTGTTCTTATTGCTGTTAACTGTCTTCGAATCAGTTCGGATTCACTGAAAGCCTGGAGAGGAGCAGAGGGTGAATTTGAACCACGGACCACAGCACCACTTACTACCTTGAGGTAATTTGACTTAGTGCCTGCAGGGGGCACCCAAGGGTCATAGCAGTGATGCTGTGTACTGTCAAATCTGTATAGAGTTTCTCAGACTGGCAGGTGGGTTTGAACCACCGACCTGTGATTACCAGTCCAGTACCACACCACTAAGAGTTCCTAAACTTGAGTCATGCTAATCTACCTTAGACTATAAATCTTCGTGGTTATAGAAAGCCTCATCTTTCACCCATGGAGTTGCTGGTGGGCTTGAACCGCCAACCTTGTGGTTCACAGTTCAGAGCTTATCCTACAGGACTGCCATGCTCCCAACCAAAAATTGTTGTTGTTTAGTGCTATCGAGTCAGTTCCAACTCATAGAACCCTATATAGGGTTTTTACAGAGCAGCTGGTGAGTTTAAAGTTCCAAGCTTGCAGTTCAAACTGACCTTGTGGTCAACGGTTTTTAAAACCTATATATTTTCAAAGGATATTTAAAATCTCTGACTTAAAGGGGAAATGAGTCTTACTTTCTAGGAGAGCAGGTCTTGTGATTGCTAGGAGCCCTCGAGTCAGTTCCAACTCTGGAGTCCTGTGAGTGCAGAGTAGAAATACCCCGGAGGGTTTTCATGCCTGTCACCTTTCAGAAGTAGATTGCCAGACCTGTCTTCCGAGGTACATGTAGATTAAAACCACCAACCTTCTGGCTGGTAGCCAAGTGTTTAACCATTTGTACTACCAGGGACTTCCATGTGAGCGGAACTTGTTGTGAAGTGCCTGCCTTGGAGTCGATTCTGACCCAGCTGTGAGCTTAAAGCGCTGACCTTGCAGTTCAAATGGCTTTGCAGTCTGACATTAGCCCACAGCGCCACACCAGGACTCCCAGCAGAATTTAAGGTGACTTAACTTTTCACTCTGGGTGACCTCTGAAGAATTGTGTTTCAGCCCAGTTGTGACTAAGATGGTAACCTGGCAGTGGAGGGGTTAATAGGACAGTTGTTGTTGTTGTTGTTGTCAGGTGCCATCAAGTCAGAACCGACTCATAGCAACCCCATGCACAGCAGAACGAAACAATGTCCAATCCTGGGCCAACCTCACTACCGCTGCCACACTTGAGTCCATCAATGATGCCACCTGGCTGATCCATCTCGTTGGGGGTCTTCCTCTTCTTCTCTGACCCTCCACCCTACCCAGCATGACATCCTTCTCCAACGATCGTTTCCTCCAGACAATATGTCCAAAGTAGGAGAGACGAAGCTTAGCCATCCTGGCCTCCAAGGAGCACTTTGGCTGCACTTCTTCCAAAACAGATCTATTGGTTCTTTTGGCAGTCGATGGCACTTTCAGTATTCTCCTCCAACACCACAACTCAAAGGCATCAATTTTTCTACGATCCTCCTTATTCACGGTCCAGCTTTCGCATCCATATGAGGCTATTGAAAACACAATGGCCTGGGACAGGCACACCCTAGTCCTCAAGCTGACATCTCTGCTCTTCAACACTTTAAAAAGTTCCTGTGCAGCAGATAGGACAGAGGTCCTGGGTATTTCAATTGCTTCACTCCGTTCCAGCTTTGGGTGGTAGTTAGGGTGAAGAGACTTTAGGATTAGAAAAAGTCAGGGGTCATGGTGCATTCCAAGAAATGGAAGCGCAAAGAGAAGAAGATAAGAAGCTGGAGAAGAAGACAATTGTCACCTAGCCATCCTGTAACTGATGTAATAGAGTCCTGGTGGGGTACTTACTGCAGGGTAAGAATTTCACCATAAGGTCAGTGTGAACCTCAAGTTCAGCAGTTCCAAGTCTCCAGCTGCCCCTGGCTATGAGTCAGAACCCACTCAATGGCACTTAACAACAGCAACAACAACCTGATGTTAAAACCTTGATTCAAATGTATTTGCAAATACAGTCTAACCCTACCATGTACACAAACCAGAATGGGAATTCAAGGCCTCCACCCGCCTGTGACCTCTGCCATGGAAAGTCTGGTACTTTCCCACGAGCACACCTTCTGGAATGTTCTAATCACCCTGTTTCCCATTCCTAAAGGAAGTGGGGCTGGTGAGCAGGAATTAGGTTTACTGAAGTAAGGTATATTCAAATCACCATCATCCAGTGGATTCCAACTTATAGCCACCCAGTAGGAGAGAGTCGAACGTGATCCTGAACGTTTCCTAGGCTGTCAACCTTTTAGGGGGGCACACTGTCTCATTTTATGCCAAGGAGAAGCTGGTGGGTTCCAACCTCCAATCACTCATTTAGCAGGGTTTCTTTAGGGATTCTTTGTTATTGATGGTTACTGCCACCAAGTCAGTTCCAACTCATAGCATCCCTGCATACAGTTTCTGAGGAGTGTCTGGTAGATTTGAACCACTGACCATTGCAGTTGAAACCGACCTTGCAGTCCAGTGCTTACCTTCCAGTGCCACAGCAGAACTCCTTAACTCACTGAAAGTGGCCTCTTTAGGCTGTTCCTGTCTCCCAGAGTCACTCCTTCCTACTCTGGAGTACAACTTCCTGTGTCCCTTCCTGACTTTGACATCCCATTCTCTGAAACTGTCCTTGGTTCTGGCTCTGCCCTCCCATCTCTAAATCCTACTGCACTTGGGGCACCAGCGAGTTCTTGTTTCAGCTGCCTCTCATGCCCTTCTTCTGGGGTCTACCTCCCTCCCTCTCTCTCTGTGCTGGGTAACATGAAGTAGCAATCTCTCAATGGTGCCATCTGTGAAAGCTCTCAGCTGCTAACGGAAAGTTTGGAGGAGATTTCAGTCCACTCAGATGTGCTTCAGAAGAAAGGCCTGGACATCTACCTCCCCCACCCCCAAAATCAGTCATTGAAAATCCTGTGGAGCATAATTCTGCTCTGACACACAGGGGGGTTGTCATAAGTCAGAGTTGACTTGATAGCCATTGGCTTCATGTGAAATAGTGTATTTGGTCCAGTGACTTTGTAAATATTTCCTCCTAATACATTGTTAGAAATTCGCTACTCTCTCCCCCATTACTATCAGAGAATCAACACCTGGCCCCACTCTGGAGGGTTTGATCTCCCTCTCACCTGGTTTCCTAGCCTCTTTCCCCTTGCTCCTTCCTTTCCATCTTCTGGGACCTGCTTGAATAGCATCTGCTTTCTCCTGCCTCAGGCCTTCTGCATATGCTTGTTCCTACTTCCCACATGCTGTTTCTTTTACAATCCACTTTTCTTCTACTCTCTTTCTTCTATGCATCCTCTATGCCACACCACCAGCATTGAAAACACTCCCACCCACCCCACCCCCAGAAGACAGCAGCCCTTCTGTGTGAAGTTCCTCCCTGCAGAATTCTGTCTCTCCATTGAATCAGGAGCACCAAGGGACGTAGACAATGCCTTTTTTCCCTCATCTTTGTGTTCAGGACACGCACACGAATACTAACTAACGCATAAATAAGTGCATGTATGAATGACAAATGCATTATCTGGAGCTTAATACAGTGAGGGAGTCCTGATGTGGTGCTGTAGGGTCCACACTGAACTGATGGTTCAAATCCACCAACCACTCCTCAGAAACCCTATGTAGGGTCACTATGAGTCAGAACAGACTGGATGGCACTTAACAAAGATGACAATACAGTGGTATGTGGCACTGTAGGATCAACACCACAAGGTCGGCAGTTCAAACCCACCAGCAGCTCCTGGGAAGTCCTGTACAAGATCGCTCTGAGTCTTGAATCCCACGGCACTTCATAACAACAATGGTGTATAGCACAGGGTCGCCCCTCATGTACTCATGTAATGTTAATGTGTACTCGTTGGAAAATTACTTCCGCTGACGTTTCTCTACTGCGTACCTAAAGGTAGTTATGAGCAGATGGACTCATTGCATGAGCAATCCTTCCTTTCGTCACCAGGTGGAGCGCTAACTCCAGAATCTGTCCCGCTCCCAAGCAACTTCTCCACTCTGTAAATCAATACTAAGGAACCTTAAGGAAAACTGTCTTTGGGCAAAATTTAATCATCGCTTGATAGTTTAAATTCTTACCTTTATTTTTACTTGGCAAGAAGCGTTACAGTGTCAAAGTCTTCCTACACATGTTGTGTTTTTAGGCCTTTAGAAAATAGACGGTTAAATTGTTAAATGCTGTGGAGTTGGTTCCAAGTGGAGTCTGTTCCTACTGATGGAAACCCTGTATAGGGTTTCTAACTAGCATCCTTGCTTTAAGAGTACAAGCTTAGCGCAATTTTGATACTGATACTAAGGAAGGGCCAGCGCTCGTTATAAGTAGCAGTTGCAATGCCTTTGAATGAAAATATGAATTCCTTAGTGTGGTTTAGACAACAATGAGTTATCCAGAGCGGAAAACCTGGTCATCAGAACTTAGAACGATTACGGCCAAGAAAACCTGTGTGTGTGGGGGTGGGGTGGGGGGGGTTCTCCTGTCACATGGGGGTCACTCTGAGCCGGAATTGGGTCGATGGCACTAAGAACATCATGTCCCTAACTTGGAGGCAGGCATTGCGGTTCACACCAATAAAAAACAACTTGTTTCCCTGGATCAACTGAGACTCGGCGGCCGGCCTTATGTATAACAGAACGAAACATTGCCCAGTCCTGTGCTCTCGTCAAGCATAATACTAGACAATACTCTGTTGTGATCTATCGGGTTTTTATTGGCTAATTTCCAAAGTAGATTGCCAGGACTTTCTTCCTACTCTTTTTGAGTCTGGCTATTCCGTTGAAATCTGTCCATCATGAGTGACCTTTCTGGTATTTTAAATCCTGGTGGCACCGCTTCCAGCATCTCAACAACACGAAAGCTACCACAGTACAACAGGCTGACAATTGGGTGATGGGCACAATCACTATCTTTGATCAGCTTCCTCTTCTGCTGAATCTAGATCAAAGGAATTATGTTGTTTGGGTTTCCACCCCCCCCCCCAAAAGAACCCTAAAGAGGTTTGTTGTCTTAAAGAAAACTTATTCCTTTGCCATTATTAATTCAGCTGCAATGGCCAGGAAGGGAGAGGAAGACAAGAAACTGCAGTATTTTCCTAGTTGTTGTGAGATGTCACCAAATCCAGTTTGCTGCAGAGATAAAATCCTATCTGAAGACAGAAAATCATCCTGCCAATGATGGCATAGCACACATAAATGACAAGTGCAGACACTGAGGATTTTCAGCATCGTTTATTTTATAAATCACCTAAAGGAGCTCTGGTAGCGTAGTGGTTATGAATTGGGCTGCTAACCTCAGGGTCAGCAGTTCAAAACTACCAGCTGTTCAGCACAGAGAAGAAGAGAGTCCAGAGCAGGAACCAGCCCCAGCAAGTTCTCAAGACTCAGGCAGGTGGAGCAGGTGCCACTTTGTAGGCTATGAGGAGATTCAGGTTCAGTCAGGCCTTTCCACTCATGACTCAGATGTTCTGAGGCAAAGACTTCCTGTTCCTTCCCACCACTGATAAGATTGTTTACAGTCTAGCAATGTATGGTTCCCAGCATTCATATTCTTAACTGCAGGCACTTTCACTTTATGTTGTGATGGGTTCTAGAGATGAAGGATGAAGATGTTGCACATTCTCTTTCCAAAGATCTTCCTTCTGACAAAGAAGTATCTACATCAACTCAAAATGCTACAACAAAATTCCATTTAGAATATAAGCAAAGGAAAACTTACATCCTAAGATATACTTAATTTTGACAGTAGATTTCAAACTCCTGTCAAATGTCTTATGTCCAGCTGTATAATACTGAAGACAATCCATGATTAAGTAATCAAATTTTTTAATTAAAAAATGACTCCATTTTTGTAAGTATATTTTATTTCAAGAAAAGTTTTGTTTGCTTTTCTTTTTAAGATTAGCTCGAATTATTCATAGGGCCAGTGTGTTTATGTTTGTGGAGA